TCAGCATCCCAAATAAATAAACTCTGCTTGAACTTGAGAGTTTGAAATTTAAAGTAATAATCATACAGTTTAATTTGTTTTATCTGAATTTAAATGTCAGCAATCACAAAGAAGATAAATTCCTTAAATGAAATCCATTAACCAATCAACCCATTAACTTTTAGCAGCTAGTGAGTTGGCATCTTGCTTTAAACATAAAAGCTCATATATTACCACATTTAAGCACACATTTCCCTAAATTAACAGTAGTTTTGTGCCATAATGAAAAGCAGTATTTTATGTTGTGTTTTTATTTTTCCCTAATTGTTTAATTTACATCAAGCCCAAAAGCTAAATAAGCTAAAGCTGCTAGCAGTAACAACCTTTTATTTTATAAAACTTCAACTCAGGTAGGGGGTTAACAGACTGGAGATATTTTTTTAACAGAAAAATGTGAGTTGTGTCCGTGTAGAACTTACCTGGAGGCTGATGTTTCTGGATTATGTCACAGTTCGCTGGAAGTGTGGTCATTAAGACAGCCATATGTCATGCACTGACATATTCACCAGGATCCAAAATGGCTGCCGTGGGAACAGCTGAAGGCTAATTTAGAGTGAAGAAATTAGCGGAGCAGCTAATAAGGGATGTTTGAATATTTTCTCCACCAAGACACATGTTATATGCTATGTCACACTTGGAGATATAGTGAGTTGGAGGGTTTAAAAAAAAGAATTACATGAAGTGAATGGTCTTAGCTTTTGTTCCATTGTGTTACAGAAAGTGTTTAACTTTAAGTATTTACTAGAACGTACTCAGAGATTATGTTGAAGACGTGGCGATACAAACTTTAACAGAGTTAGCTTAGGATAATATATGTATATATATATTTATACATATAAAATAATTACACAGCTGTGCAAAGAAAACTGAGTAACAGGTAGTAAATTAAAAAAATTTATGGACCTTCTAAATGTTGGAGGCTTAAGACTTAAGACAATGAGGGTAAATATTGAGTTTTTAATTATCGGGTTGGCTCGTACACAACTCTGGGAATAAGCGGTAACTTCCTCTGGCCTGATTGTCGTGTAAATAGTAAGTTAACGATTAGTATTCGTGTCAGAGAACGACGCAGCCTCATGCAAATGTTACAAAGGATGACGTGAGTAAGCTTTACTCCACCCTGCTGGTGCCTGTGCTTTACATTACCGCCACGAGAAAAATAGGGATAACGTGGTGAGAGCTACAGCATGGATGGATCCCGCCGGCTAAAATGCCAGGCATATGATGGCATGTTCTTGCGAACAAGCCTGTTATAATCATGATGCTGCATTTAAAGGCCACACGGGAATATGAATATGACGGAGGGCAGACAACACGGCTCTAATTGCCTGCATGGGACGCATCGCTGGGAGATAACAAGGTGTCTCGGCTCATAACAAACATACACACCGTGAGCTCTTGCTTTTACGAGGACGTGGTTAATGAGCAGCGGGAAACCTTCTGTCTGACCACGGCAGATTAGGAGGATCAGAACAAGAGAGCACTGGCTCTTAAGGATAAAAGCATTGTATGCTACGTGGGATGGAGGAGGACAACTGAAAAGACACGCAGGCGAAGTCATTAACAGTCTGATTAACGAGAAGTGACAGCGTGACATTCTAAACTGTTACGGAGCTAATTAATGGTTCTATTAATTTTATTAGCATTAGAAATGGTTCCATAACAGTTCCTGGGTGGTGAAAATAAATGTATGAAAGAGGAGGCGGTGACTGTGAATGGTTTGAAATTGATTTTTATTAGCAAAATAAGGGAGATGAGTCTACAAAGATTCTCCGTCTGTGGAGAACGTAACACATACACTGACAGTTGTGGCAGTTCTTTTTTGTTTTTTTCTTTACATGAACAGATCCAGGAATATTTTTGTTTATCTATCGTCGCTCCTGTTGGCAAAGTAGCTCTGATTTTTATAATAAAAATGAAAAAAAAGGAAAAATCATCGCAGACCTACTTCTCAACATTCTTTATTCCTGTCGCCTCACATCTGACCCTCATCAGGTTCATTCATCTGCACTGGGGAAATCTTAACAATTGCTCCCAGACTAACGTTGCTCTTGCCTGTACAACAATCTAATCTCTGGTTTCGTAATCACTTCCTGCATTTTTGCCACCTAAAAAAAACCCTATAAAGTCCTCCAAATACATTAAAATATTACAGTAAAATGTGCCAACTGTTTGTACTCTTTGTACTTTTCACACCTTCTCAAACCATTTCATGAATGGTTGGAAAGAATGGTTGCTTTATACACTGTTTAAAAACACCGGCCCCAGATTAAAGGGGGTGTGAATGTAACATACAGCTCATCATTGTACTCTGTCATCGGCCAGTGAGGCCTTTTCATTGTCGTAGCGGGTGAAGGGGACAGGGGGCTAGTGGACTGTGGAGGCTACATGTTGGTCACCATGGAGACCCACGCAGGGCAATGTTCCTTTTCTCCTCCTCCTCCTCATCGTAGCTCAGTGGTGTGCACATAGAAGATAGCAGGGACACTAACATATGAAAACATTTAACTTTTTCTCCGTGTTTTCAGAAACAATTCAGCAGGCAACAGAACAAGCATTTAGGACGACGACCGCGGTAAAAGGCATGCGAAGGCACAAGTACCAACAAACTGGACTCAAAAAAGTTGTACCTCTTTTCTTCCCTTTGGGTTTGTAATGGTAGGGAAGAAAAGAAGAAGTTCCACCGAATGTTAAAAAGTTTCCTTTTCCAAAGAGAGAGACAGAGAGATAGACAGAGAGAGAGAGAGAGAGAGATTTTTCCTCTAGAAACGGACAGCAAGAACATGATCTTCCTGACAGAGAGAGAGAAGCAGAAGAAACAGACAGCAAGAACATGATCTTCCTTTTTCCAGCAGAAAAAACGGACAGCAAGAACATGATCTTCCTTTTTCCTCTGGAAAAAAAAGAGATACAAATAGAAGAAATAAAAATGAAGACAGTGTGAAAAATCTGATGTGACATTTTTACAATGGTACAAACATTCTACACACACACACACTTTAAAATGCCGGTTCAAAATGTTCCAAGAAAAGGAAAAAAAACAAACAAATAAAACAACATAAATAAAAGCTGGCTGTTAAAAGTGGCATATAGTACAGCACTGGTCCATGACTGATCCTCCTGACTCCTCTCATCTTCCCCACCAAAGATGCACAAAAGCTGGCTTCACCGCCTGCAGACATGAGGGGGAAAAGAAACATAAATGGAGGGAAGCGAGTTCAGGAGAACAGACTCCAGTGATTACGTAACAATCTGGATGATCCGACTGTGTTCCCTCCCAAATACCTAAAACCTAAAATCTCAGGTACAAAGACATTTGTAGAAAAAACGTCTGGAGCAGGAGCAAGGATTTAGACTCCACCCTCCCCAACGCTCCTGTCTGTTGTCACACTCACACACACACACACACACACACGCACACACACACACGTCCGCAGCATGTGAGACGGACTGTTGGCTCCAGTCTAGCTATGCTACTTTTCAGACATTTTCCTTCCTACTGTTATGATACAAATTTCTCTTCACGTCTTATTTTACCTCGTTTTTTTTAGTGCGGACAAACATCAAGTTGTTTTAAATTCTTCACAACAGAAAGTTTCTTAGTCTGGTCAGACTGAAGTCACAGCACAAAGATTAAACATTGATGCTGGTTTTATTACCAGATCTATCCTCCAGTGACAATTCCCAGATTCTTACCAAGAAACAAAAACGTTTTATTCCTCCTCTCCCTCGTCCACGCCCTCAGAAGAGACCACAGTCTTTCAGGTTGTTTTTGATGATGACGTCGGTGACGGCGTCGAACACGAACTGCACATTTTTGGTGTCTGTGGCGCAGGTGAAGTGGGTGTAGATCTCCTTGGTGTCCTTCCTCTTGTTGAGGTCTTCAAACTGACACTGGATGTAGGCGGCTGCCTCCTCGTACGTGTTGGAGCCTGTCGCAAAGGGTTTAAGATTGAAATATTTTTGATTTATCCATGTCAAATTTCTACCCACACGGTTAGAAGACTTGTACAAATGCTGCGTATCTCACCGGCGTACTCCGGGTAGCATATGGTCAGAGGACTCTTCTTGATCTTTTCCTCGAAAAGGTCCTTCTTGTTGAGGAAGAGGATGATGGAGGTGTCCGTGAACCACTTGTTGTTGCAGATGCTGTCGAACAGCTTCATGCTCTCGTGCATTCGATTCTACAGCAGAGAGGAAAAGAATTTCGTTGAGGAAGCTGTAGAAAGAACCACTAATCTGTGAGATTGGTCGACGGAACCAATCCGTTATTTCTGGTTCCCTGATTGGTTTCTCTTCCAGGAAACGGAGACAAAGTCTCCACTGTGTAATGAACACAGGCTGCCTTCTATTATCTCCACCGTGAGTCACCACTCACCATCTCCTCGTCCTCGGCCAGCACCAGGTCATAGTCGCTGAGGGCAACGCAGAAGATGATAGCGGTTACGCCCTCGAAGCAGTGGATCCATTTCTTCCTCTCAGATCGCTGACCGCCAACATCAAACATCCTGGGAAGGGAAAAAAAGGGGAAGAAAATGTGAAGACGACATTTTCACTGCATTTAAAATAGGTGTGAATGTGTGTTGTGTGTGTGAGGATGCTGAGCAAAATGGTCCAAAAAATCCAGATATTTTTCTGCTCAATCTTGATAAACAATATTTATGTCATTATTTTTCCTCCCTTTAAAACTGTTACAAAAGATCACAAATCTAGGTATTTCAATTTTTACAGGGATTTTATTTTGAAGGATTGAGTGTAAAGGAAGAGACCTGCAGTGGCTCCAACGTTTGGTTGGAGCTGCTCTCTGGCATTCTTAACAGACCATAAGGTTGTACCAAACTAATAGAAATGCAGGTTGTGTTAATAAGTTAAAGGTTTAATGCTCCTGTGGCACTTTATAGCGCCACCTGCTGGCTAAAACTGAAAATTAATCTGAAGAAGTCAGTAAATATGACAACATTTTTTAGCCTCATACCCCAGCAAAACACAAGTCTGGATTTTATATATTTTTTAACTAAAAACAGGCCAACAAGCTGTCTGGATTTGATATATTTTTTAACTAAAAACAGGCCAATTATACAGTTAAATCAATTAAAATCAAGCGGCTAAAATGAGATTCAAGATTTGTTAAACTAAAAGTAATTATTTAACATCAGGGTCTACATATATAAGAATATACATAGGAATTGGGTGTTGTTTCTCACAAACTAGTGTAAAAATGCAACCTTTCATATTTATATTTGTTTTATTAATTCTTAATTTATGATTTCTTCACTATATTTACACCCACAACTAAAAGTTAAGCAGTTATACGTCTGAATAAGACTTTTTATAGTTTTGAATTTTTTTTTAACATCAAGTTGAAAAATACATCACACTGTTGAGTCATTATGATCGTATGAAAAAGGGAAGAGTGAGTAAACATGAACTTGAGTGGAAAACAGCATCACCCACTTCAATAATTATCTTCAACGGCATCATCACAGAGCATTGTGCCTACACTTATCGCCCTGTGGTTCTCAGTAGAGGACCACAACTGAGTCATCGCGCTGACTTTCACTCTAACATACAGCTGCACATGCATCAAGGACATTTCTCACAGGGAGGGGCCACGGGGGGCGGGGAGGGGTCGAATGAGTCAGTAACAGGAAGGAAACCAGATGAAGACACACAGCCTAACACAACAGTTACATCAAAGACAGATTCTCACTTGAAGTGCAGATCCTTGAACGTGAAGTGCGTCTCCACGATGCCCGTGGTTTTGACACGAGTCCTCAGGACGTCCTGTTGAGTTGGGATGTAGGTGGCCTGGGATATTCTGTCCAAATCGTTCAGGTAGCTGAGAGGGAAAGGTCACGGGCAAGAGGAGGAGAAGGAGGTCAAAAAAAAAAAAAAAACAACAGTGGGGGAGACAAAGAAGAAGAGGGAGCAGAAGGGAAAACAAGGGGGAGTCTTAGATGAATCAAGGTCAAGTGTTTCAACTCCCAAATGAACAATCAACGCCTGCTGCGTTTTCAAGGATGTCTCTGTCAGACACACAAAGAATGAAACCCTTTTTTTTCTCTCCAGATTCCACAGCCAAATTTGGGTTGGCGTTGGACCTCTTTTGGGGTGCTCTGCCAGTACTGACCACCAGGGGGTGGCTTCTAAAAAAATTAATCTGGGCATCAGCAACATCATAAAATCTTAATGATTAATTTGAATGTTGAGAAAGTGTGAACAACTAAAGTGAAGTTTGTGTGTAAATTATGGATACAAAAACCTGCTGTTACTTGTCTTTCTGGTCCAGCAATTTACAAAGAATGTTATTTTGTCACAAGAAGTATGATGTATCAAGATTAGTCAACAGATTAAGCACTGAAAAAAATAACTGTTAGAGGAAGCACTGTAAAACGTTGTACTAATCTCCATGATATTTATTTCCAAGGAAGCAGGTCCATTTCTACGAGATGGTTTATGACCTTACATAAGACTGAAAGCAGATTTGCTGTAAACACCCCGGCCGTTCTGCGACCCAAACAAACTCCGCAAGGTTACTTTGGTCCAACAAACATAAATAATCTTTCCCTCGAGCAAACAAGCTTTTGTTCGTCTTTTAAGGTATTAAGTGGAGAGAAAGAAAAAAAAAGAGTAAAAAGATGTTTAACAATAGTGTTTCTTATTCATGAAAATCCCCCGGACGGCAGGATTAGGCGAGGCAATCAGAAAATGTGCAGACTTGGCAGTTTCTGCCCCCCCCCAGCCTGTTTCGTCGACTGTAGGGTTTCTTTCTTCGTAGATTCTCTGCCAGCTGAACTCAGGAGCTGCTTGGCAATGACGAGCACCGCTTTTTTGCCAAACATTTTGCACAATATTTAAGCTTTTGTGTCCAGAAGAAGGAAAAAAGTTTTTCTTTCTCCATTTATGGACATGAATGAAAACATAAATGAATGAGCAGTATTCTACAGTCAGCCTTTGCTGCTGCTCTTTTCCTCTGTGTTTCGATGAAGAGAGCAAATATTGACAGTCTAAAAGTCCAGACAGGAGGGCGATGCTGGAGCGCCGTGCTCCCTGTCACCCGAGACGTGATTGTCTCACTGGACTTTCTGTTTGTGTTCAGTACATATACGACACAGGCTGTCATGAGTTTTTAATGACCAGGAGCTTGGTCCTGGTTGGTCCATTGGTGAGCAATGTCGAGCTTTTTTTTTGCCAAACTCATGTCTATCAACTTCATACTAATGAAAAAAAAAACTGCTTCAAATGTCCACATGTTAACCTTTCCAATAGGAGGTACTTTAACAATATACACTTTTAATACTGTGTAAAATGTTTCATTTTGCTACTCATATCTAACTTGGAAAAAAGTTTTGTTGCCAGTAGGGGGCGCCATGAGTATGCATACATTTTAGCATTTTATTTGTTTGTATCTTGCCACAGCCATGGCTAAAAATTACAAAATCTTCCCAAATTATGGGAAAACTTCCAGTAGGAGGCGCTTAAACAATAAGCTATTCATGTGTCTTATCTAAGTCAAGGTGAAGACATTTTTTAGTTTTAGCTTAAATATCTTAATCTTATTGAAAATACCTGTCTTCAAACTTGTACCAAATCTAATTTTATGAAAAATATTAATAATTAAAGTTTGAAGTTAGCAGGAGGGGGCGCTATGAGTGAATTATATTATTCACCAATGTCTGACAGAGTCATAATACATCAGACAATGGGAGAGGCTATTTTTAGACTGTGGGTTTTGACCTCAGAATCATAACTATTTTTTATCTTGTAGCTACGAATAAAAATAAAAAAAAAAGAAGAAAAATCACTCCTTTTGGGAGATGTGGACGGAAAAAGACTGGAGTTGGATACTGTCAGATTAAAGTCTGTGACCATAAACAACATGAATGAATTGTCAGACTCCTTAGTGGGAGTCTGACAATTTCCACCTGGCTTGTTTGACTTTGTGTTTGCTCGTCTGTCAGTGTGACTCACTATGCTGCCGAGTCGTTCAGCTGATATTCACGGGAGCGGCTGAAGCAGGCCTGAACGCCCCCGTCCTTCCAAAGCCTCTTAATGACACCGGCGAGCTCCACTGTCATGAAGCCTTCCTCGGCTGAACCCGCCAGCACAAACAGCTGCCGTGCATCATCCTGGAGACGTAATAAGGGTGGAGTCAGAGTCGTAAATCAGACATCTGGGCGTAATTACACCTGTACTGTCCTTTCAGAACAGGAACAATATTCACTCAGTTATTGAGTTGCTTCAGGTGCTGGGGAATTGTTGTCTTGACTTAACTTGCAAATGAAAAACAAAAGTCTTAAAGCTAGGTGTTAGGGGTGTTTCTCCCATAGGGGGCACCAGAGCACTTTAGGAAAGGTGCAAAATGAAAACGAAAAAACAGTCAGTCAGTCGTCGACTTGTTTTGAAAACCTTCTAAGAAACTAAACTATAATCCTCTCCGTCTCTGCGTCACTCACAGCTCGTGCAGCGTCTCCAAAGTCGATCTTGAGGCGGCCCATGGCTCTGATGATGGCAATGATGGACTGGATGGTGTTGCTGTAGACCACAGCCTTGTATTGCTTGCATTCTTCTTCTGAGTAGCCGGCTTCATGGATGATTCTGCGGGGGGAAAAGTTTGAAGAAAAAAAAATCAGGTTTTCACTAATCAAATTTCACGTTTCATTCAGCCTTAAACATTTTCTGGGAAGAACAGACAAACACACTGTACTTGGACGGGAAAAAATGCTGTTCCAAGATTCTGTTGGCAGCTCAACCAATCACTGGCTGTAATCCACAGAGGAAAGCTGGCGTGGTGAGGCCGTACGCTGACAATGATGTGTTTTAACACTACATTTCCCCAAAACGGTATCTAGATTTACATTTCTGTTTAGTTTGCGATACTGAGCACTTCCTGTTCACAAACCCAACCAAAGCCAGTCGCAACAAGATGTCTATAATGATATATTTTTGATTTTGAGACAATGAATAAAAAAAACTAGAAACTGATATCAGTGTGAGGCAGCTAAATGCTAACGTGAAACCGTTGCACATTTAGTTTTTGCAGGTTTTGGAGACTGATGCTCGCTCTGTACTTGTGAAACCGTTGCACATTTAGTTTTTGGAGACTGATGCTCGCTCTGTACTCTTCTACAGTGTGTTATCCTGTATGAGTGTGTGTATTTTCTTGAACTGTATGTGAGTTACAGAGCAGGAACATATGCCGAGAACTGTTTTTACAGAAGCTCCGTCTGATTGGTTAAGTCAATATTTACACCGTACGTGAAAATTGTTGCGAAGAAAGTCGACTTACTTCATCTGCTTTACGATTGTACTTTTCCCTGATTCGCCAGCACCTGGAAAACACACAAGGAAGAGTCTATTATTTATTTTGAATTGTACCACAGAGGGGAAAAAATGCTGATTGGCAAATTAGCTTTTTCAGCAAAAAGAAAGTTTTTAGTAATTACAGTTTTTTAAATACGGTTCAGTGGAGTTTAACAATAGTAATGCATTTTTAATCCCTCTTGTTGGGAAAAAAAATCGACTACCCTGACCCAATTTTAAGGTTCATATATGTTTAGCGGTTAAACTGCTAATGAGGTTGATTAGCTTCTCTGACTATAACGTTAATGACGAAAAAAAAAAATTGAAATTGAACTTTTTTTTAATCCCATCTTTGGGAAATTTGACTATAAATCACACAAATACAGATTTTAATTTGCATCATTGTTTTCTGTAAATAGGATTTGTTTCTGCCCCAGAAATATTAACCATAACCATAAAAATTGGAATAGACCAAATCCTTGTGGGTCGCAATAAAGCCAACCTTTTTAATACTTTAACAGTTATGTAACAAGGCCGAACATCAAGGAGACGCACCATGAAAAGCTGTCATCAAAAATGTAAGTAGAAATGTTGTGTATGTTTCGTAGAAACATAACACTGGTACAGACTAGGCTTCTGGGAATTCCTTCGGAACATGCCGTCACTGCCACTGGCTCGGTCAGATGACTGCTCTGTGATCAACCACATTGAACTTCAATGTGTCTCTAATCTAACGTGATATAAGCGAGCTGCGTGAGTGAAATGTCGCCGACGACGGCTTCCACAAAGTGCGGCGCGAAAACAAACAGAACTTGATCGTAATTATTCTGGACGCGGTGTCAAAGTTGAGGAAACACAGCCGTGGAAACGGGCACTGACGGCTGATTAGATTGGACTGCCAAGTAGTTGGCCAATCAGCGACTACTTTTGATGGAAGCGAGAGCGAAAGAAGCGGGAGGAAAGAGATAGGAGCAACGTGAAGGGAATCTGAACGGCGGATCTTTTCGGTCGTCACAGTGCCATAGCAACAGCTCTTGTTATTTTCAGGGCATGGCTGGTGTGAGGCCACAGTCACCTGAGGAGGCTGTGTGTGTGTGTGTGTGTGTGTGTGTGTGTGTGTGTTGGCCTTCAACAACACCGCTATGCATAATGCATATGCTGCTCTTTTGCCTTACTGTATTTGATACTTCCAATTCAACCGACTTTCTATGCACCTCGCAGAGCAATGGAGGTATTTTTCAAGCATTTTTAAACTGTAGCCACTATGATTTAAAGTTGAGAGTGACATTGTCATCCATTTAAAAAAATTTGTAACAAATGGACATTATTAAAATAAATATTTAGATACTATTGAAGTAAAGTCACTATTGCCCTGTAATGCAAAAAAAGCAGTATACAATTTTGAATATATAAAATACCAAATTACCAATTTGACCAAAATTGATGGCCGCCAAACTCTTCAAAACAGTTGAAACGGAACAGAAAAAAAAAAGTTAAATTATGTTGCATGTTTAGGTACTGATAGGAAGATAAATTGTGTTCGATTATTCACAACTTTCTTTCAAACTATTTAAAATAATAGAGAACGTGAAAACAAAGCACATGTTTTTCACTGGTATCAATGCCAAAAAAAAAAACCTAAACCTGTTACCACAGGCCTCCGACAAGACAAGTTACCCTCAGAGCCATCTGACAACTGTAACAGGAAGTTACCAAGTGCGTGCTGCATTTCCAGATTTGAGTAGAACAATCAAACTTTGCACTGGTCACAAATAACTTCAATCGTTCAATCACCCCTGCTTCTTCTGTCCCTGCCAGCTGTTTTCTATGCCCTGACCAAAATACTCTTACCCGAGGTCCCAAGTCAGTGCTGGCCAACATCCCATTGGATGCAACAACCTTTGTCCAAAATTTTGCCCTCAATGTTAAATTCGAAGCCCGTTTGAGGACTGTAATGAATCCAGCGTCAATCTATTACCACACACTTGTGATTAAGTGATTAAGTGTATCACTGAAGCCATCTGTCGTGTTCTTAATGAAAGCTACCTTCATTAGACTGAGCGACCTGACGTGACCCATAATAAACTACCCATGAAAATAGGCTTCACTTTATCAGCAGCTGATCACTGGGGGACACACCAGCTACGGCTGATGTCATACTGTCACTGGGGAGAATTTTTTTTTTTCTTTTTAAATGATATCTGTCACATGTGGTCCTTCCTTATGTAAACACCCCAGACTCCAGAAAGAGGAGAAGAAAAGAGGAAGTGAAATCCCATCGTTTAAATAACCATCTGTTTTTTACCCCGTGACAGTGTCAGCAGAGACATGAGCGTGTGCTATTAGGTAATAAATGGAGTTCTGCTTTATGAGGTATAGCTAAAATCGACGCGAGAACGAGGAAGTTGCCACAGAGAGTACAGCACAACTTGTAACCAATATAGTTGGTGATAAAGCAAATGCTGTGGCAAATTTTATTTTCCCATAAGGTTTTTATTGGCTAGCTGAGTATCAGCTGGAACATCACCAAGTTTCCACTTTAAAGTTTTTGTTTGAACGGGTTAGACCTGAAATAAAACACAGCTGAAATCAGGTGCTATGAATCCAACCAACATTAGCATCTACACAGTCAAGGTAAGAGAAGAAAAAAAAGAGAATTTATAGACGATGAGTGTTAGATAGGAGTGATATTTTAAATTCTGTTCTGTATAAATCTGTTTAAATATACATTCTAACTTCCTCGATCTTAACACCATCTTGGTTTCCTTGACCATCTAGATCAGGGGTGTCAAACTCATTTTCACCGAAAATGACCCTTGAAGGGCCGGTTTTAAATGGAACACTCTATAGATCAGGGGTCCCCAACCCCCGGTTCGCAGACCAGTACCAGTCCATAGGTCCTTTGGTACCAGCCCGCAGTGGGACACAGTGGAAAAATGAAAAAATTCTAATTTACTTCATTCAAAAAAAATTCCATTTACTTAAAATAAGTCATTCAGACTTTGATACAAACAGAATAGAGTCTGGTATAGATGTAGCTCCTCCTTAACAGACTAATACATGTATCAGCAATTGATTATTATTTATTCAAGCTACAAATATTGTTCATTGCTGTGTAATAAAAAAAACCTGTTAATTTCATAGGTTGATAAACTCTGTCACATGGACTTTATTAAATGCTTTTTAAGCTCCTGCAGGCCACACAAAATGGCTTGGCGGCCGCATTTGGCCCCCGGGCCTTGAGTTTGACACGTATGATCTAGATAAACCTGATTTAAAGATTGTGGAATCCAGTCAGGACTTTTTTCTGACTTTTCCGATACCTCGTCCATTTATCATTTTTTTATGCTGAAAAATTCAAATGAGTTCCAATGAGACTGTAGCCAATCCCAGCCTTTAACAGGAATGGGGCTGGGGGTTGCACCCAGACAGTTTAGCAGCCATTCACAGGGTCAGATATTCAGACAAACAAACAACGCACTCACGTTCACAACTACGGTCAGCTCAGAGTGAACAACCAACCTAAAGCTTCAGGTATTCAGACTAATGGAGGGAGGTGGAGTGGAGCCTGGAGAAACCCACCAGATATTGAACCAGCGTACCAGACATCTTTTTGCTGTAGGCACCAAATAACTAATCAAGAAAATAATTAACAGTTTTGTTGAACTGAATCAAGTAGCATAAACATGTCCCAGAGCAGGTACCATCTGCCTAAAAGTCCTACAAACTTCCCCTTGGTATTAAACCACCTGCTGATAGTAAAGCTCTGACATTCACCTTCAGTATAATTGGAAGAGTTACACCTGAGGACACATCATTTTAATTACGTGTCACAGCGCTGCTACGGGCCCTAGTGGGAAGATGTGTGTGTGTGTGTGTGTTGACTTTGTCGGGGTGTGTGATGATAATGCAGTGGCAGCTCACAGTGCTCCCAGGCCATACACTCAGCAGCGAGAATCCCTGCGGGAGCTGAACGCTGAGCAGGAGATAAGCCTCTAGACTGGGCACTGGCCCGGAGTGTGGTATGAGTCGGCACAGTCGTTACCTACGGACATTTTCACAGTCCCGGGGACACTTTAAATTCTTGGCACAGCGTCCACTATTTGGGACATTTGAAAACCCTGTTTGGATAGACCAAACGGAGTTCCAGTCCCCACGCAACATAAAAAGGGATACGGAAGATTTAATGGGAGGAAACGTGTGTTTAGTCAGGTCACACACACACACACACTGATAAGTTGGATGGAAGTTCGGAAACGCATCAAAACATACATATACAGTAGGTATATACGTATATTAGGGGGTGTAACCCTAGGAAAAACACGTTTATAGGTCTGTCTGTATAAATATGTCAGGGTGTAACCCTAGTTTATAGGTCTGTCTGTATAAATATGTATATTTACATATATAACATATATACATACACATACATACAGTATATACATATACATATATTTACATATATAGACATATAAACATATATGCCTGCAGACAAACTTTTATTTTTAGAGCACATTTCTCAGACTAAATTAGAAACAACAAACGTCCAGAGGATTTAGACTCAGGATACAAGTTGAGCAGCTCTTTCGAAGACCACATACCCGAGCACTGCCTCAAAGGTGTTTGTCAAGCTCTTCTCGTGACACTGTCTTTCGATAAATAAAACGCTCGGCCCTCATCCTTAGCCTGTTTGTCATTCTGTGTGTTTCACTGGAGCGTAATCCTTGACTTGAAGTCTGATGTGACCTGTCCTTATTTATATAAGCAGCCTTTCTGACACCAGGATATCTTTAAGGGTGGAGCTCCTGTAGATACTCGTAAGCCTGAGGAATATGAAGCAGGGTCTGACTGACAGCTTGATGGCCTGAGGCCAGCATTGGTTCATGCAGAACAAGGTGATTTCCAGTGAGAGTGTTGTAAATGTCTCTGTCCGTTTTCTCAAGTAGCAGAAAATTGTTGCTAAAGCACATCCGCGATGCGGTACGATAAAGGTTAATAAAAGTTCAGAACTAAAGCAATCCTGCTTTTA